AGTTTATCATGTAGATAATGTGTTCTATGCTAAATTTTACATATTCACTGGGTTTAAGTTAGCGCATTTCCAGTCAGCGGAATAAGCAAAATTAAAACCCAGTGAATAATTAATCCTTTTACAGTAGTGTGTAATCTATGCAACATAAACTAACATTGTCACACCAAAATAACATGTCAGGTCACATGATATACACTGTATACTAATGTAGAAACAAATGATAGTTTGAAAAAAAAAATTAAATCTCCCTGCTGCACCTGTATATTTATTTGGTTCCACAATGGTCTTTTTGGCACTTAATTTTGTACACATCCCCCATAAGGTGTTTTAATCTTTTGAATACCCTTGTCAAATTTTGAAACCATCAAATATTTGATTTTTTACGGTCTGTTCCTTCCAACATATCTCGATTGAAAAATGACAAACCTTTTCTTCAAAAACTAAAAGCAATATCCTAAACTGTCTTCATGGTCCAAAATAATGATGAAATTTAGTAACAATTTTACAGAATGAGAAAATATTTGTACCAAACTTTGGGAAAAATATCTCAAAGGGTTGCACATTCTCCTTGCATCACCATTTCTGTACTACATTTTTAACAAAATTAACATTTTCATCTTGTAAAAGATGACAGAGCTTTTCCTGAAGAAAAATTATCAAAGTTGTGCAGTGGCAAGTTTTGCAAGAGAAATAAAATAGCAAAATAAGCATACAATATTAAAATCCTGTACACTGGACACAAACCTGAAACTGTCCGACAATGACATACATAACATGTCATTCTCAAAATGTGAAAAGTTGAAATAAAGGTTGACAGCTAAATTTTATTTGACAAGTACAGAACTCTTGGAGACTGGAAGACTGGAGCAAGAGGTGAAAAGACGAATAGGTATGTTTGCCTTAGTGTCAGTGAATGTTGAACAGCACTAGAAAATGGAAAAGGTTAATTGATACTGGGGGCCCCATGTGATCTCACTACTTCATTTATTGGTAATAATAAATTCAACATGAAAGTAGGAGGCAAGAATATGAAATTAAACAATGATTCTTTACTGTTTGAACAGTTTGGGCACATTCATTAGATTTTAAAATCTGTGGTTTGATAAGAATAATGAATAAAACACTGAAATCTATCTGTACATAATTTTAATTAACCAAATTGGCCTAATTATAATGTCTTCACAGCACATCACAAGTGTGTCAATCTATGCACCCAAAACGCTTGTCTTGTATCATATCTTTTGTGTTTATTTAGCTCAATAATGGTCAACCATTTAATAAATTACAATAATTTCTCAGAATAGATGTTAAATTATTTATCAGAATGAAAAAAGCCAACAGGTGTTGTATTGCACAGAGTTAAAACAAAGCAACATACATTCCCCTGTAGCATCAATTGTGATGATTAGTTTTGGTTTCTGACTCGTGTACATTAAAATTTTGCAACCAAACCAAGTCATCAGATTTGCGTATTGGAAATAAAGTCATTTATATTACACAGCTATATAAACTAAAAAAATAAATGACAAGGGAACTGACCAAAACAAAAGCTGCCTTTCCCATTGCGAAGTAGTTTGTCATGTTTCGCACTGACATAAACACAGTGTTAGTTTTTTTTTCAACATTTCTGCCAAAACTAAAAGGCAGGGATTTTAGTAGTCTTTCATATTTATATAAAAAATAATAAAATTGCCATGGCTTAGCCCAGGCTTGTTATCACCTCTCATTTTCTTTAAGGCACTCCGGCTATTTTGCCTACTGTAATAAAACTATATTTACTGCTAAAAAATTCATAGCACATTTTTTGACAAATTTTTTTGGAAAGTCACTGACACCATGTATCTTAGAACCCTGGAGAAATTATCACTGCAACAAAATGGTCCCAATTTTCAGACTCACAATATTTGCGAAAATTTGCCTCTTGCAAAAATAAAGCAGTTGACAGTATAACATGGCAAACATGCATGGGTTGAAATTTTCATACTGTAGAATACTTTATTTTTGCTTGGAATTAATTTTTGAAGGAATGTTTCAGTGAAAATAAAATCCAGCGAACATAAATTTTTTTCCTATATTTTACATTAAACTTGTCAAAAATCAGTGAAAATAAATTCCATACAAAACACCCAAAAAAGCCTTTTCAGCGAAAATTAATTCCAGCGAAAATAAAGTATTTTATAGTAACTTTGAAATTTACACATCTTTTCCCCGACATCAACCACTGAGTGGTAACACTATTGAAAACATCTATGTTGTATTTTCAACCCTCAGTCAGGTGTAAAACATATTACACTACAATCAATTGAAGAAGAGTATGGATACGTTGTCATGGTAATGCTTTATAACTACCGGGGTAAATAGTTTTTACAAGTAACCTATAAATAGATCAACCTTGGCTGCAGCAAGATACACAAGTAAACTAGCCTTACAAGTATGTAATCAAGTATGTAAATGTAATCACCCTAAAGAACACACACTCAGTCACAAAAGAATTTTATTTCGCTTTTCATGGATGATATTGATTCTCAATGCCACTTGTACAATTTAACTCAAATTTGATGTTTTTTATGTACGTCTAGTATTTCCGCGGTTTGTGATTGGCTGAGAAGACAGTATGACTGCCTTAATTTGACTTTGATAATAGAGTTGTGGTTATTTCAATGTACTGGTTTGTACATAACAAAAAAAAGAAGTATTTTTACATGAAAACTAAAATGTCCTCATTTTTGTCTGTCATACAATGACATGAAGGGATGAACGATTTGCAAAATATGTTTCTTTGATTTCAAACAAACAAAAATGCAACCCTCAATGGAATGGCATGGTCAACAAGGTATACTGTGAAACATTTAACTATTTATGAAATACTGTTGATGGCTTTATTTTTCACTATTTTGCATATATCAGGAAATCTGAGAAAATTGTGATTTCTAAGACAACAAATCATTAGGAATATCACATAAATTTGCCCCCCCCCCCCTCATAAATTACGTCAAATTATCATATTGTGAAAATTGATAGTAGGGAAACTTTCATAACATATAGTGCAAATTTAGTCAAAAAGTTTGAATGGCAGTTTTAGATATTAGCACAGTGAAATTTTACACTTAAATTTTATGCATGACAACAAAAACTCCTTTGAAATTTCTTTCATGAAAACAACAGTTTGAATAGTTACTCAATTTAATTCTTTAAAAAAAATTGATAATTTCAGAAGTATCAGGTTGTTTAAAAAATAATTACTTTATAAGGTTTTACGACACTGGGAAATGTTATTATATTAATAAGCCATATTCCGCTCACTGCGAGATCTTGTGTGGCCATACTTGTGAGGGAGGATGTGAAAAGCCACAAACTAATGAAGTATTTTGCCATAAAAAAAATATATATATTCATTTTAATGCAAAGCACATCATGGCACAGTAATTACAATTATTTATTTGTTTCTATAAGAATCTAGGATTTTAAATTGAATCAAATTCAAGTAATACCGGGTAGTACAAGTCAATCAATTTTTAGTTCATGATTACTGAAAATATCAGTGAAAATGATTTCCAAATAAAAACTTGCAATTCAAATTTTTCAAGTTTTTATATTATATGTTTACATTTAAACTTCACATATTATTTTCTAATTGATTTGAAATTATTTTGTGTCGCTGGAAAATTTTAGAATTTTTATTGTTCGGTAATTTAAAATTTGTTTTATGAGAAATATCATTTTGATTACATTGAGCTGAACTTTTGTATTGTTTTGATTATCAACCAGTCCATATCATCACCAGTTCCCTTATTTCATAACAAATTCACAAAATAGTCACTGCACTTTCCTTCAGAAGACTGAGACAAAAATAGCCAAATTTTTTGAGTAAAAACTGAAAATTGACTCAAATTTTGTCTGCTGGCTCCAAAATTTAGGTTCATTTCCAGAAATAATGAAGAATATTAGAAAAAAGTGCAGAAAAATTTGGGCGAGAAAGTCTGGTGGTGAAAAGGTTAAACTAGGTGTGCACAAATATTCTACAAAGACCACTTTATAAAATTTATGGCTTTCAATGTGTGGCACGCTCACACATGTACACCTCTACGGCTCAAACAAATGCACACACGCACGCACGCACACATATAACACATATAAACAATTGGACACCACACTAGCCATTTTCAAGTTGCAATAAAAAAAAAAATATTTCAGTAGTTGACCACTGATGGCGCTGCAACATTTATTTAGTCCAATAGGTGATTTCCATTCACTGCAAGATCTCGTATAATGATTTATATATTTCAATGTTGAAATACCAAGCTTCCAAAGGGGAATACAGCATTAGGATACCCTTCCTTCAGCAAAATTGTCCATCATCAAATGTGCAAAGCACATTAATTAGTGTGAAAAGGCTCAAAAAATAATTTTGCGTTTGACGAATTCCATACGATGTTTTGATGTCTCTACAATGCTACGACCTTTGTTTGTGTTGTTTTAAATTTGATTTTACGCATAACACGGGATTTTGCAGTGAACGGAAAAATGGTTTATTGTGAAGGCAAGTCTTGGCTTAGTAGTTTAGTGCTTTCAGTTTGCTGTATTTCTTTATCCTGACTTTGATCACTTTCTGTAATAGATTCTATTTCAAGTTCAGTAACATGACATTCAAGTTCCTGAGATAATCTTTCTTTTTCCTTCTGTTCAGCCTCCCATTTCAATCTTTTCTCTTGTTTGGATTTAAAATAGAGATGGTGCCCTGTTCAGAAATAAAAAAATATTATATTGTTACAGTTTTATTATGTAAAAGTACCACATTTGATTTCATTTGACAGAGGAGATTTCAGAGTGAGACCAGAGGTACATTTTGTAATCTTAATTAATAATACAGAAAACCTTGTTGAACATTTTCAGATAAGGTGGAAAACAAAAACAATTCAAGAGAATGCACACACCTGGACAGTCAGCCATCATTTTGTGTGCTTTATTTTTACAACAAGATCTACAAAGTTCAAAGATGCATCTCAATCCCTTGGGATTACCACAGTTAACACATTTTTGATACTGTTTTCCTGAAAAAAGAAACAAATTTCAAAAGTTTACTCAAAATACACCTGAAAAGAACAAAAACACCAACTATCCACTTTTAAAGTGAGAGAGTAGTCACCTGCGCATGTGGCAAGCAGTAACAGAGTGTCTTTGTTTACAAACAAACATCTACCCATGAGCCTTTGCATTTTTAGCATTGTTATCATGATTTGAGACTTTTTTCCAGCTCATGCACCGGTGATGAGCCTCCGAGCAAAATGCACTGCTGTGACAAAGATGGGGTCAGTCATTCCCAAAAAAATTTTGTGTTCAATATATTGTCTACAAATTATGACAGGGATATGTTTTAATAAATTTGTTTCAGGTTGATATATGGTTTCACAGTTTTAACACAAAATACCTTTTTTTTGCCCATTACTATCAAATTTGATGGAAGGATTTCTCATCCTCTTCTTTATTTGATTTTTGGATAACCCTTCATAATTTCTATCTTGGTCTCCAATAGATGCCAAAGGTCTCTTCAATGACTTCTCTTGTTTCATTTTCTTGGATTCAGCAGGACTGTGAATAGACAACATGTTTATTTGATTCATGCACACATATACTCGACAGCAGCATGTTTGTGTTTACATCCACATGTACATATGATACAGATACCACAATGTTGCACTCCCTCTTTGTAAATACATGTACAGGAAATGTTGTATACTAGGCATGTTACGAAAATATGTGAATTGCGAGTAATTTGACGCAAAAAACAAGCAGCCTCTTGGCTGAGATAGCTTTTCAAGTAGAGAATTGAA